ATTGTCCATAATCTCAGTGTCTATATAATGTCTATGTAATTCATTAGGTAACTGAAAAAAAAACAAATCAGAGGAAAGCCACATATGTGCGTGATAGAAAGTTTTCAGAGAACGAAAGAGCTTTTTACATGACCGTGTCCCACCACTTACCTCATGCCTGCAGACATTGTCAAATATTGTGAGGGAGATTCCCCTGGTTGAGAACATGGTTATGTGCATTTTTGATGGGGAGAGGGCAAGAAGGTTGGGAATTTCAACATTAATGATATATAAACTTTTGATTAATTCCCTCCTTTTCACTACAGTACTAACCACTTTCATCTATATTGGGAGGCCTGCGGTCTAAAAAATGTCCTGTTTTCCCTTTCCAAATAATAAATGTCTAGTCTTTGGCCAGGAGAAGAAGAACAGTTGCCTGATGCATGAGATTGGAACAGGGATCCCGTGGTCTTCCTAAGCAGACTTCAACCAGCCCTGCTGTTTTTGACCCCATTTTTACTCACACTTCCAGAGATAACTGGTGGTACCAGATCCCAAGCCTTTTGGTAGTCATGCATTGCAAGTCAGGTAGCAGGTCAACTTTCTGGAACATCACTTTAGGTTGTTAGCTTTCTCAGGTGTGCTGTGGTCAGTTACCACTGCCATTTGCTTTCTTTTTTTTTAGTATATGTGCTGCCGAAGCGAGCACTGCCATTTGCTTTCTGAAATTCTCCAATTTTATTGCTCTTGTTCTTATTCTCTTTGTCTTTGTGGGTTTCTCTCTCCTTTCCCCTCCCTCCCTCCCTCTCTCCCTCCCTCCCTCCTTCCCTCCTTTCCTTCCTTCCTTCCTTCTTTCCCTTCTTCCCCCACCTTATGATTTTTTTTTACATGGGATCTCAGGAAGAAGCAGAGGTGAATATGTATAAGGAACTTGCTTAATTCTCTATCTTGAACCCAAAGTTCAAGGATAGTTTTTTTTAGAATTAGATTTTAAAACTTGGAGGTTGTGATTTTAGACAGAGGGGCCAAGAAAGGAAATAATTTTAAATTTCTTCCTGTAAATAGACATTTCCTTGATGAAATTAATGCTATTTCATGTTACAACTCAATTATTTTTGTCTCCTAGGAACTGGCAACATTAAAGTCACAGTTAAACTCACAATCTGTGGAGATCACCAAACTGCAGACAGAAAAGCAGGAGCTGTTACAGAAAACAGAAACATTTGTATGTTAATTACTACTTTTTTTTTTTCCTGCAAGATAGTAAACACAAGGTTAACATGTTATTTCTCAGCCACTCTATAATAGAAGCGAATGTGTTGGAGAGGATAGCGTCTTCCCTTTAGGTGACTTACTGGCCACAGGTCTAGTCACATAGGCTTCTGGGCCGTGGTGGCAGCCACATTACAGTCAGACTCCCCAGGTCCGTGTAATCAGTTATTTAATGGTTCATTTTGCTGGTATTTTGTATTTTATCCCATTTGTGTCCCCTTCAGTCCATCAGTCCAAGCTGGCAGGTTTTCTGCTGGTCTAGAATTGTCAAAAGCCTTCTTAGTAACCATGCCATACATAGGGATCCAAGCCATCAGACAAGAAGGCCCTCCTGGATCATCCTGTCTCTATTCCAGCTTCTGCTGAGATGGTTGATTGCGTCCTTGATATTTCAGCAGAACATGCTTTATCATTTATTGCAATAGGGATAGGCTGAGAATTTTCTAAATCTTCACGTTCCGATTTCCTTTTGCTTAACATTCCTTCTTCAAGTATTTCTCTCCTGTCATGGTTTACTGTAGGCATCAAGGAGAAACCATGCCCCACGCCTTTAATACTTTGCTTAGAAATCACCTCAGCAAAATATCCAAGTTCATCGCTTGTAAGCTCTACTTTCTACAGAGTACTGAAACACAATTCAGCCAATTACTTTGCCACTTGATAACAAGGATCACCTTCCTCTACTTTCCAGTAACATGTTCTTCATTTCCATTTGAGGCCTCACCAAAACTACCTTTCCATCCATATTTCTACCAACATTCTATTCATGATGATATGTTTTCTCCAAGACCCTAGAAGATTTCTGTCTAGTTCCCCTTTTTTTCTGAGCGTTCACCAGAATTGCCTTTAACATCTGACAATCTCTTCAAGGCAGTTTCGGCTTTGTCTGACATGCACCTCAAAGCTCTTCCAGCCGCTAACAATTCTGAAAGCCCTTCCACATTTTTAGGTATTTGTTACATCAGCACCCTCTTTCCCAGTTCTTTGTAGAAAAAAGGCAGGGAGAGATTGGAAAACCATGGTTTTCCAATCTTTGGTTTTTTACTTTCTGTAATTTATTTTATCAATTTTACATTGTTATTTTGGGGTGCCTGGGTGGCTCAGTTGTTAAGCATCTTAACCTTGGCTCAGGTCATGATCCCAGAGTCCTGGGATCAAGTCCCGCATCGGGCTCCCTGCTCAGTGGGAAGCCTGCTTTTCCCTCTCCCACTCCCCCTGCATGTGTTCCTGCTCTCGCGTTCTCTCTGTCAAATAAATAAATAAAATCTTTAAAAAAAAAAAAGAAGATATTTTAAATGACAGTTTTGTTTCTTATATCGTAAAATCCTGTATAAAAAAGAAAACTAAAATTGTCCATAATCTCAGTGTTCCATCTCAGTGATTTAGGAATACTTCCTAGAGCACTTAAGAAAATCTTTGCATTTTGGGTGGCACAGTCGGTTAAGTGTCTGACTCTTGGTTTTCGGCTCAGGTTGTGATCTCAGGGTCATGAGATCGAGTCCCACGTCATCGGGCTCCACGCTCTGCTCGGTCTGCTTGAGTTTCTCTCCGTCTTCCTCTGCTCCTCCCCCCATGCTTGCTCTCTCTTTCTCTCTCTCTCAAATAAATAAAATCTAAAAAGCCAAAAAACAAAAAAACTTTACATTTCACCAGTTAATAGCATTCAGCTCAATTTCCCCAGCTGCCTCTCTGAGGTAACAGTGTGGACTTAACTTACAGAAATATTGTGAGGAAAGGGCTTTGAGAACTATTCTCTGCTTACTAAATGCTGTTACCGCTCTGGTCTGACCTTGAGGCTGCCTAACCCAGCCGCCTTCGTGCTCGGCTGAGATCTGATGCCGCAGCTCTCCTGCCTCAGCCCCAGCACCCCCGCTCCACTGTAAGCACCGTGGCCTTCCAGGGAGAGCACTGTAGTGTGTGTCGGTACACGAGGAATTCTGTTTTCGGTTACTGGACATACAGTTTCAAAATAGCGAGAAAATTAAATCACCTTTGGGATTTCACCTTGGTTGTGCTTTAAAGAAACTTTTTTTTTGTTCCCCCTCCGATTTCTACCTTGAGGCAAAGTCAGCTGCCGCACCAGGAGAGAGTGGAGCTGGAAGGGCTGCAAAGGCCACCGATGGGGACAGCCGGCTGTTGGCGTTGCTACAGGACACGAATGACTTGAAGGTTGCTCTGTGGTGGAGCTTTTACTTATTGCATAGCCTATGACGTAAACTCCAGGAGACTTGATCTGATTTCATTGAGTTTCTCAAATCTTTAGATGTATGAGGAAAGCTAATAGGGTGTAATTTTCGCTCACAACGTGTGCATTGCCATTTGGATGAGTGAGGATGGCACAAGTGGAGATTTTTAAGTGCCATTTCAAATACTGATAGCACATATATAAAGCAAGAATGTGTATGAATGTACTTGGAAAGTAGATATCATTGAAAGTTAAGTTTTCTTGTCAATCTCTCATCACAATAAGAAATAAAGAGTACAGGGGCACCTGAGTGGTGCAGTTGGTTAAGCGTCTGACTCTTGGTTTCCACTCAGGTCATGAATTCAGGGTCGTGAGATCAAGACCCGTGTTGGGCTCCACGCTCAGCGCAGTCTGCTTGAGATTCTCTCCCTCTCCCTCTGCTCCTCCCGCTCGTGTTCTCTCTCTCTCAAATAAATAAATAAATCTAAAAACATTTTAAAAAGAAATAAAGAGTACAGCTTTGGCTAAAACACAAGCCACACATAGGCTTTCCATTAGGCTAAGGACACAGGCACGATAGATCCTGCCAGCCTACGTGACAGAGAAATCAGAATAAGCAACATGTAGAGAAGAATGAGGTAAAAGTAACAAAACTAAAAGGCACAAATACAACCATGGAAAAGAGAAGATAATGTGTGATTGTGCCTTTCAGATTGTGGTCGGATTATTTTATCTTCAAGCCATGGATTTTATTTGCAGCTACTTTTCTTTGCCATTTGATTGTATGCATGAAGTTGGGATAAAAAAATTTTTTTAACCTGAGTTCTAATTCTTATGCCCATCAGGCTTCTCTTGTAAAATGTTTTGTGTCTTTATTTATTCCTCTGGTTACCTGAAATGGTATTAATTATCTCTTAGGTTTTTTTTTGAAAAATAGCTACTTAAAACTATTTTTTGGATGTTAAACTCTATTTTTCACAATAACCATCTTTGATGTATGGCCTAACGTAAATTCTCATGTTACTGGATGAGAGTGTGTGTGTGTGTGTGTGTGTGTTCTATCCCCAAAACCGCCACCCCCCAAAACCCTCAGATTTTCATAGAAAGAATGAACCTAAAAATAAAAGAGAAAGAAGGAAACTATTTGTTAAAAACCCTATGAGAGTGAATACTAAGATTAATTGATCTTCCCCTTTCTTTTCCTAGAATGAAATTAAGGCTCTGTCTGAGGAAAGAACTGCTATTAAAGAGCAGCTGGATGCATCTAACAGTACCATTGCCATTTTACAAAATGAGAAAAACAAGCTCGAGATGGATATTACAGATTCTAAAAAAGAACAGGATGACCTGTTGGTGCTGTTGGCTGATCAGGATCAGAAAATATTTTCATTAAAGAATAAACTCAAGGAACTTGGTCATCCGGTAAGATCGAAATGTTTCCAAAAATGATTTATGGTATATTTTAAAGAACTGTGCTGTAGCATGGCAATGTTGTGCCTCCATATCCGTATCGCAGGTATAAATACGTAGGTCCATGAATCCAGGATCGTCTGCACTGTTTTCCTGGTGTTCAGTGAATCGACTTAAGACACACAGGCAGTTCCCAGCATTTGTTAACTGTTCTCTTTTGGGCTTTGAGCCTACAAGTGAATTGATTTGCTCCCGTGGTCACAAGACTCTCATCATTCACATGTGCCATTCTCTTTTGTCATGTTTGATCCACATTTGTGTCTAGAGAGGTATGGCCACCTGTCAGCAAGTTAACCTGTAACATCTCATCTCATATTAAAAATGGCAGAGAGGGGCACCTGGGTGGCTCAGTCGGTTAAGCGTCAGCCTTCGGCTTGGGTCATGATCTCAGGGTCCTGGGATTGAGCCCCGAGTCTGCTTCTCCTTCTCACTCTCCCTCTGCGCTCTTCCTCTCTCTCTCTCTCTCAAATAAATAAATAAAATCTTTTTAAAAAATGCCAGAGAGCCTTGAGCAGTAAATCAGGGAAATCGGATGGCTTGTAATCTATAATTACTGGAATAAAGAATTTATCAAGGGGCACCTGGGTGGCTCAGTCGTTAAGCGTCTGCCTTCGGCTCAGGTC